AATAACATTATGATTCCAACTGATCATTGGAATTCTTTCAAATTTGAACCTGTTCGGTTGCACGATTTCTAAAATGTTAAAATACTATGATTGCCAACATAATTTCCACACCCTTGTATTCGCAGGCTTCACAGCAGTGTTGTATCACAGTGTAATCACATTGTGGTTACACTATATATGCTTCAGTTATGTAAAAGTTCAACCCTCAAGGTTTCAGTGAACCTAGAACTTGACCAGCCCACCAGTAGCACTAACTAGTTCTCCTGTATTTTACCTCAATAAACTTATTTCAATTTCAATTCTCCAACCATGCCATCCTAAGAAAAGCAAAAGACAGCATTAAGGTAAGTAAAGGTTTTATTTTAATTTTTTATTTCCAGAGATGTATATCTAGTATCCAAGCTGGTTATCCATTTGCTCGTGCCCAACCCCCACAGGCATACAGTAGTCAGGTCTTACTATTTAGCACATAATGTATATGAAAGCAAGCATGGGTTGGTGTTGAACTTAAGATCTATTGACAACACAAGAGTTAGGGCCACAGCAGCAGCTTAATAACCAACTAGTTAGTATACTTTAATTTAGTTTTTGTACATTTCAAGACTAAACATTATAGATACAGGGAAGCAGGGTACACCTTTTTATATAGATGAGGCAATCATTAAAAATACTAAAGGCAGATCATTCTGCCTTCTGATTGGCTGAGTGCTGGTTGTTATTGTTAAGTAGTCAGGCCTTCTTTTAATCTATAATATCAAAATCACAAGTGGTGTGGCTCATTTAAGCCAATACACCTATTAAATACTCTTACATAGGTAAGGGATAGTCGACTCATAAATTACTTCTTGATGAATACTTTGACTTAATTTATTAGCTTCAAGACTTTCCCAAATGTGCAAGTACGTATTTACCCGGTGTATTATACACCGAAAATTTACAAAACTTATTTTGTACATAGTCATGTGTACTGAAGTGTCATAAATATACTACTATTGGTGTTGTAGTGAGATCTCTTGTTTTGTCTGGTATTTAAATTTTCCATCAGGACGTTTCGTATTATTAAAATTTGGAATAGCTGTATAATTGAGGTCATCATGTGCATAAACATTTAATACATTGTTGAATTACAAATAATGTGTGCACCCAGATGCCATTATGTTGAAAGCAATAAATGTTTAGAGATTGGAGAGGTATACGAGAACTAATTTTCTAACACAGACAAATATTTAAGTTTCTGGGCGATAACTTGTAAACCCGAGTAATTTGAGTAGGCATTTACTAGTAGATATTGGGCTTTCTTGCATGGAGATCCTATTAATGTTCTCATTCATAACCTTGTAACAACTCTTGTGATGGAAGTCGGAATATTGATTCAAAACGAAACAGTTTTTAATGAGCATCTTTGTCACTTTGTAAATATATTAAGTAGCTATTTATGTTTTTAATTGTTATTCATTTTTATGGATTCTTTATGAAACTATGCAACTATTCACTTTGTTTTTCCATAATTTGTACATAGGGACAAGAATTCAGTGGCTAGTGCATTGTTGTTAATTGTGAAGTCCTCGGCCTTTCCTCATAAGGAAAGTTTTATAGTTTTTTGGATAAATTGTCAGTCTGAACCAAACCTATTCCGGTGTAGTTCTGACAGTAGGCAGGGTCTGCATACAGTACTTGGATTTAGTGGGTTTGCTGAGACCATGTTACAAAATAGTCCATCCATTCCTGCCATTAGCATTACCTCAATTTTTTTTAATGTGTTCATTTGAAGAGTTCTTCCACACTCGTAAATTGATAATCAACATAAAGTACTGCAAGCACACAAGAGATAACCCAGTGATTGGAATTGGACACAGGCACACATGTTAATCACCTATGATACTATGCACTTTATTATGATCATAAACAAGAGCAACTTAAAACTTTAGGTAATTACTTGGGTAATTACCAAGTGTAGTTACAAGATGAGAACTACGCTCGTAGTGTCCTATCTTTCCAGCACACTGTCACACAACGCTTTGAAACTACTTACTTTGGCTTTCACCACCTTCTCACCAACTTGTTCCATCTGTCTATCTCTCGGTTTGCAAAAATAAATTTTCTTATTTCTTCGACAGCTTTGCTTCATTGTCAATAATGTCATTGAACAATTGCTACCAGCCTCAATGTCGCTTGTCCTTACGTTCAGGTATGAGATCCAGAACTGGGCATTTCAGGAGCTATTTTTGCAAGTAATACTTAAGGCATGGCAATGCAAGGAGAAACCTAGGCTGTGCTATATTCCTTCTTGCTGATACTGTGCCTCACAAGAATTTCCTGTTAATCATTAATCATGATTTTAGGCTAATTGTACTGCACCATAATTTAGCAAAGTGGCCACTATGCTCTGAAAAACACAGGCGTGTCAGTTTGATTTTTGTTCATAATGATGTAAATTCCATGTTTTGGTAGTAAATGTAGGTGTATAAAAAAAAAAAATATAGAATAACTTATGCTGCAAAAAAATGTCAAAGTTGGGAACAGAATATTTTTTTTCCTTCTCCATTGTGGTTTGGAATTCTTTAAGTCTTTCCCTTGTGTGTGTTGCTTTTGTCATTTTAGAGGTGGCCAGGGCTAATTCCAGATGGTTTTAAGAGAGAGGTGCTTAGAGAGTATCTAAACAACAGGAAACAGTGAGTAACTGTGAGGGGGAAAAACATCAGTGGCAAGATGTCACCAGCAGAGTCCCACAGGTCTCTGTACTTGGCCCCAGCCTGTTTCTAACATATGTAAACGATCTTCCAGAGGGTATAGACTCATTCCTCTCAATGTTTGATGATGATGCAAAAATTATAAGAATCAAGACAGATGACAATAGACAGAGACTACAGGACAAACTGGAGGAATGGTTGAGAAAATGACTAATAAAGTTCAACTCGGGGAAAGTGTAAAGTAATGAAATTAGGTGAAAGGAGCAGAAGGCTGGACACAAGGTACCATCTGGGAAGTGAAATTCTGCAAGAGTCAAACAGAAAGATCTGGGGGTTGATATCACACCGAACCTGTCCGCAGAAGCCCACATCAAAGGATATCAGCGGCATATGCTAGATTGGCCAACATAAGGAGTGCCCTTAGAAACTTGTGTAAGGAATCATTCAGGATCTTGTATACCACTTACGTCAAACTAATCCTGGAATATGCAGCTCCATGCTGGAGTCGATACCTAGTTAAACGCAAGACAGTTGATTCAAAGGTATGCCACCAGACTAGTCCCAGAACCGAGACTTATGAACTACGAAGAAAGGTTAAGGGAGCTAAACCTCGCATCCCTGGAAAACAGAAGAGTAAGGGGAGACATGATAACTACCTACAAAATTCTCAGGGAAATTGACAGGGTGGACAAAGATGAACTCTTTAGCACAGGTGGAACACAAACAAGGGCACACAGGTAGAAACTTGGTACCCAAATGAATTAGTGACATTAGAATTTGTTTTTTTTTCAGTGTCAAGAGTAGTTAATAAATGGAAAGCATTAAGCAGTGATGTGGTTATCTTGAGAGATCTTGAGATGATTGATTGATTTCTTGAGATGATTTCGGGGCTTTAGTGTCCCCGCGGCCCGTTCCTCGACCAGGCCTCCACCCCTAGGAAGCAGCCCGTGACAGCTGACTAACACCCAGGTACCTATTTTACTGCTAAGTAACAGGGGCATAGGGTGAAAGAAACACTGCCCATTGTTTCTCGCCAGCGCCTGGGATCGAACCCAGGACCACAGGATCACAAGTCCCGCGTGCTGTCCGCTCGGCCGACCGACTCCCCTGGTGGAGGCAGATTCCATACAGTTTCAAATGCAGATATGATAGAGCCCAGTAGGCTCAGGAATCTGTACACCAGTTGATAGGCAGAACCAGAGCCAAAGCTCAACCCCCCGCCCCACCCTGCAAGCACAACTAGGCGAGTACACTCCACAGGGCCTTGCAGTTGAGTGGACAGCGCTCTGGGGTCGTAGTCCTAAGGGCATGGGTTCGATCTCCAGCAGAGGCAGAAACCAATGGGCAGAATTTCTTTCACCCTGATGCCCTCGTTCACCTAGTAGCAAATAGATACCTGGGAGTTGGACAGCTGCTTTGGGCTGCTTCCTGGGGATGTGCACGTGTGTTGTGTGTGTGTAAGAGAAATAAATGTAGTAGACATATCTTAAGGTTATCTCGAGATGATTTTGGGGCTTAGCGTCACCACGGCCCGGTCCTCGACCAGGCCTCCTTTTTGTTACACACCCCCCAGGAAGCAGCCTGTAGCAGCTGTCCAACTCCCAGGTATCTATTTGCTACTAGGTGAATGAGAGCATCAGGGTGAAAGAAACACTTTGCCCATTTGTCTCCGCATCCACCAGGGATCGAGCCCGGAACCTCAGGACTACGAATCCGAAGCACTGTCCACTCGGCTGTCAGGTGACAGAGTAAAAATAAAATTGGTTAGAAAGGTGGGGTCCAAGAGCTAATAGCTCGATTCTGTCCCAGGACAAAGCCCTGGCGCAGTCTTGCGACAGAACCTGCCTTCGAATTTGTCACTTGGGCAGCATCCGAAAAGTTCTTATCCGTGGTTGCTCGGTGGTTTTCAGCACCCACACCATCGAGAAAGCACGCATAGACTCTGCTCATCTTTTTAACAGGGCCGGCACCTGCTCTTGTGATGGCGTCTTGTGCTGGGTTTTCCTTGACATGCTTCCCAGAGGCCCTCCCTCCACCTGTCTGTATATGTAAGTGTACATGTGTGGCAGAGAATGAAAGGGAGGAAGAAGGCAAGAGAAAAAATCTGTATCCGTCTTCCATCAGCGTAAGGTATGGTTCTTCAGAGGCACTTATTATGCATAATTGTTATGAGCAGGTTACTCAATTTTTTTATTAAAATTAAACAAATGAAATCGTAATACATAGATGTCATCCAGGTTTGGTGCATTCTTTTCATAACAAATCTGTAGAATGTATGTAATTGAGAGCGAGGACAGTAAAAGATGTGTCTACTAACAGCCATTTACTAGACTCTCAACACAGAAACGTAGAGCTCTTTACACCTAAAAAGCCAGTGAAAGGACAGTATAGAAAATAAAAGTACAATGGGCTTCAATCAGAGAGATACTACAGTAGGATAAATCTCATTAAAACTACAGTATTTATAGTAAATATAACAAATCACTTACCTACCAAAATAAATGTTGTTGAAAATGCCCATTGTTTGACAATATAAATAAATGGTCAAAATAAGATCTTCCACTGTAAAGTCTACTGGCACATACACATCACTGAACAACCAACTTTTAGTTTTAAATGATCACAGAACAAAAAGTTAATTTCTACTAGAAATATTTATATTCAACAATATTGGCTTCATTTTGTGTAAGACATAAGGCGACATTATAACTTAACTGGCTGTGATAACAGTACTACTGATAAACATATTTATTAACATTAGCTTCCTCAGTTTGGTCATGCTCAATCTTAATGATAACTTCTCGAAACATTTCATTCTTTGCATTTACATTTGACTAGACATTTTTTATGGTATTTGAAAAGATAATACAAATTACAGTGACCAATCGGAAATACTTGCCAACTTATTAATTACTGTACATAAAAACTACATTCGTTGATTTCAAAACTAAATTTTGTTTATCAGTATTACCAGTAGGAAAGTAACAGTGCAACTCAGTCATGAATACACATTTTGAAATTTTCAGATTTATAATAACACATCAGAGTTGTAATTTAAGTTCAAATAAAGCTACAATATATTTTAGTGTCTGAAAAAGTGAATGTGGGAAGTGTAATATAATGTTATCCTAGAGCCAGTGTTAATATGCTGCGTGTAAACACTGGCAACAAGTGTATTACACCACTTAAAGCATATAACCGGGAGGCAAATTTCAAATAAAGTACATTTAATGAAGCCTTTTATCTTACCCATAGAATAAGACCATAATCTTCAATTTGTGCTTTCTCTATATTCTCTTGAGACAATATATGGGACCAAAAGTAATGAGAGCAGGACGACACCAGCCGTAATGGTTAGCACTTAACTCCCAGGCAGGTTAAGAGTCACCTGTTTCAACACCCTTGTTTATGACTCAAATCATATTTAGTTTTAACAATGGCATGGTTGCAAAGAGGGTGGCAATAGTCCTAATAATGGCCTGAAGACTTTCCAACTGAATCCTTATCCAGCATTTATCAATCTGTTATCACAGCATTGTATGTATATATGTTGTGCCTAATAGCCAGAACCACACTGGCCTAGTAGGCAAAGTCCAATTTGTCTAACAGGCCAAATGATTTTTGTTATTTTCAAATATGATAAATATGAAAAATGAAGTTTTTCTTTATTTTTTCAAATATGTAAATTTTTTTTATTTTCAAATTAGAATAAGTGTTAACAAGTGATCCCTAAGAAACATAGGGCATGCCTATGGGATGTTTAGGGTTCTAGACACCATTGTGTGATCAAGATGTATGCACATTATGGCTAAAGTGTCTCCTCATGACAGTCTGACCATAACCAAGAAAGTGAGTTGATGGCATAGTCAAGGTGTAAAAGAGCACAGAAACATGGCATTTATTGTAGGGATATAATTTGGTATTGTTTTGGACACTCGATATACATTTCCATCAATGGCTGAAGTGTGATCGAAATTAGTACAAACTTAATTCCCATTAAAAAATAACATCAAGGAATACAGTGTATTTCTGAGTAGTATAATTGAAAGTAATGTTTACGTACAGTACAAAAATGTTTTTGGGTATACATGTTTCATTTGTTTTCTAACAAAACAAAGATAACTTAATTGTTATGATGCCAAAGGAATGTGCTAAATTACTGACAAAAGTTTGGGAGCAATGGTGTTGAGTTTGCAATAGCAATTAATGTAGAAATGCATAATAATCAGTGTTTAACAAATAACTATATGATAAATCCTGTTCTTGCATGGATTTCTTATATTTTAGTTACATATACAATGTATCAGGCTTTGACAGAAATGTATTGTTAATGTTCAAGACATAATAACACTACAAGGTCACTACTTGTGGCCCGAGAATCAACAATGAGGAATATACTTTTGTTGCATTATTATAAATTATTATAATTACCTCCGTAATTCATTATAGGTCCCCTGCTGGACAGTACATTGGACCAAGGTGTCGGTATCATTCACTTGTACAGTACAGTATTAAATGCAACAAAATAATCTGCTCTTTTGATTAATATAGTCATTTACAAGGAATATAACTAGTGAATCACAAGCTTTACATGATGAGAAATATTAAGGTTGATGATCCTGTATGAAATGTAGATGAATATTTTAATGATGGATGAAATCAGACCTCCAAACAATATTCTGAGGCTTGGGTGTAGCTCCTTACACTTAATGTTCATTCTTCATCAGTTTAGATATAATACACATACACTAGCAAGGTTCCTGCAGAATATCTGAAAATATTTTGATTGCATTGAGTGCATAATAATAATAATGGTCTAGAAAAGACTTCACAATACCTTTAGACTGAATAAAGATAAATATTGCATGAGAGGATCTAATGAATGAACATTGTTGGCACAAGGTCTATGTTAGGTTTTTAAAGAAAAGGAGAGTATCAATTTTTTTTTTGTGTAGTTAAAATTAATATTAGCATATGCTGCATTTGATTTGCAAAAATAATATTTAGGATCATTTTATTTACAAATGCAAACATAATAATCATCCAGGATATTGGAACAAAGTAACATGCCAAAACCAATTAAGACAAAAAGCTTAACCTTCATTCTTTATAGAACAAAACATTAGTTCCTCCTGGAAGTTGGACTGCACTTCTTATTGTTAAAATAATATGAACTGGATTTAACCATAATCACAGAGGTTTTCATTACATATCTACACCATTACATAATTTAAAAGGTCCAAATTTAGATTGAACTCTCTTGGCTCGACCACTACACATCCGTTACCACCGATCAATATTCTTATGTAAATAACAGTAACTAAAACCTTGGTGTTCAGACATCTCAACACTGGTTCTTACCTGTGTTGAGATCTTACCTTCAACACATTAACTTTAATAATAGTGAATCTATCAATTTAATAAAAATTGCATGAGTTATGTATATTGTATATAAAATAAAGAAATTTCTCAATACTAGTATTATGTGAAATGCCTGGACCAATTCAAATTCTTTTCGTCAAAATACTGAAGATATGCTGCACAGTATGGTATGGGTAAATTATTATTTCTGAGCAGTTTATACAATTCATTAATAGCAAAAAATATTTTGTAGGATTGTATTTGAAAAACTAAACTATTTTTATAGCTTTTTCTTATTTTGTTATGGAAACTAAAATTGTCTCTTCCCTTTTAATAACATATTCCTGTTCTTATATAGTAATAGAATATATAAATAGGAATGGTCTCTCCTCTCCCCAGATCCCTCAAAATATAAAAAACCGAGTCCAAAGTTGAGCATGTGGAGCACTGACCAAGCCTCAGTGATATGGGTCAGCTCTGAACAAGTTTCATTGATAAAAACATGATGGTGCATAATGGAACATGAAATGTTGATAAATACAATGATTAAGGATAAGATATTTTCATTTGATAATAGCTAACTGTATCTGGTATCTAAAAATAAATATTCTAGATAGAATTAAAATATGCTTCAGAGTATACTATCAATACCAACCGCCACAAAATTGCACAAGAATTACGGCTAGTGAATTTAGACATATGCCTTGTCACTAGTACTTTGTAGGACTAAAATATATAACAATTATATATATTTCTTGGCATATTAGTCCTAGCACTAGAGCTCACAGAATGCACCAAGTGGTACCCTGTGTGTCATGTACTTGCATACACTATGGCAGCCTTTCAAAGAGTAACAACTTTAGTGTTTCATGACCATGACCAGTTCTCAGCACATCACAAGGTAAAAAATGTCAAAATCCTTAACTCTGCAGCATGGTGTTTACCTTTAGATTATTTTTGTATTATTATTATTCCATTTACAGTATCATGTTCTGTGCCTAGTATTTCCACCAATACAGTAGCAATTGCAAATTATTTCCATTGCATTTGGGAACATGATTTTTACTTAACCTTTGCAATACATAACATGGCTTCATAATTCTTGACATATGTCCTGGGTATACAGTACTGTTCTTCAACTAATGACAATGTGGAGTAATATACTATACTGTACTGGTTTATGTCTTGTGTTGAAATATGAATTCTCTTAATATGTGCACAATCGTGAACAAACCACACACTAGAAAATGAAGGGACGACAACATTTCAGTCCGTCCTGGACCATTCTCGAGTCCATTCTCACAATCGATTTGAGAATGGTCCAGGATGGACTGAAACATCGTCCCTTCACTTTCTAGTGTGTGGTTTGGTCAACATATCTCGGCCACATTATTGCGACTCCTTTTCTACACAATCATAATAGTACAGTAACAGTATCACAATTATGTGGGCTTTTATTAAAGTAGTTTAACTCAAAGTTTTCCCCCAAAAATGTGTTATATTGCAAAAACTTGCAAAATAAAAACTTGCTTGTTGGTCAGCTTTTGGTTTGTGATCTAGACAGTTTTTTCTGATTACTTAATCTTAGGACACATTTAATAAAAATACAAAAAAAGCTAAATTTTGGAAAAACACAATATTCCACTTGCGAGTTTAGTTATCTCCACTAACATGTACGTGCACTAACATGTACGTGCACTAACATGTACGTGCACTAACATGTACGTGCACTAACATGTACGTGCACTAACATGTACGTGCAGATTGTCTTTTTACCCATCTTTTTGTTTATGTTGAAATTTAAGCCTGGTTAGACTGTTCAATGTAAAGTTTTCCCCCAGAACATGGTCTGCCAATCATTTTACATTCCTGACCCCTGATTACTGCTGCACTTATAGGGACAAACAGTGAAGGAACGGTGCCCAATTGTTCCAACCTAGGGTTTGAACCCAGGTTGTTCTTGCTTGAGATGAGTGGGTGAGGGCACTAAGGCACTAATTGCTACACCACATCTTCACTGCCATATCCTACTGTTACAGGAATTGATAAGGGTTCACCGAGTAGCACCCAACCTTCCATATTTGGTACAGTAGCATTACACAAATAATCTTGCCATCTACTACACAACAATGTATAGCATGCTCAGTCACTTTCTTTATTCTCATTAAAATTTCATGCTTCAAGTGTGACAAGCTCTATCATTGCTTATACTATTTAAAGTATTTTGAAAAACATGACTGCTGCACTCTATGATTCAGAAGTGACTGCACGTCTTGCATGGAAGTACATGATATATATAGTTTGGGGTACATTTGTGCATGTGCTGCCCTGCCACCAATGTTGGATGAAGTACAGGTCGCCTGCTGCAGGTGCCACTACATTACATGATGTATTTACAGAGATACTGAATTTCTAAGAATTTTCTAATTAATTTCTTTGTTGCATAATATTCTCAAATTATGCAACTCAAATATTTTCTCAATATGCAAGCTATGAAATGTTAAACATGATACATTCTTCAGCCATATGTCTAAATCACTAGTAGTAGAATGTCATGATATTTGTTAACCCCCAAGTATCCAAGGATTCCTTTCATTCACCACAACCACACATGCTGCCTAACAATACATCAACAGCAGACATAACCAGCTAATGCCTTTCTAGTTACTGCCGTGGGTGCTTCAGTCCAGGCGTTATCAACGCTATCGGACAAGGGAAGGCTCTTTTAACACTAAATTGTTTTGATGATTGTGTCACTCAGATTACTCATACAGAACTACATGAAGAAGATATATAAAACACTGCCATGGGTCTCGTGTGAAGTTGTTGCCACAACATCAGCAATGAAAAATTACCTAGGCAATGAAAAAATCAGGATAATATAGTTGGCACTGCCCACCTGTTGCTTGGTGGATGTTATTCATTTAGAAAACTGAGTATTTGCAAAATACAGTATTAGCAGCTCAAGTTAAATAAGTAACTTTAAATTGAACCAACTTGTACAACCCAACAAAATTATTTATCTTTAATTTTTAGCTCACTTTAAATGTTGGATATATTCAGTAAAATTATGAATTCTTTAATGCAAAATTAACAATAAAAATGAATTAATAGTACTTAACGATAATTTAAAAATAGCTGCAGCTCAAATTATATATAAAACAGCAGCAGCAGAAAATTTTGGAAAGGTATACTTGCAAGTAATACAGGGAAGAGTGGGGATGGCTTTGACAGCATGAAGGTCCAAGTGGTGAGATGGTTGAGACAAAGGCTCGCCTCAACACATGATGGAACCTGCAACCTCAAGGTTGACTGTCAGTGTGTGTGAGACTTGATTACGTCAAGATGCACACTTTGTTTCAAAATTGGCTCCCCACAAAATTTTTCTAGTAAAGAAATATACAGTACTGCAGAATATAACTACAATGTTCTATTAACCTAATTTTTATTTAAATTGTAAGGGATAAGATTTTTTCATCAATTGTGAATTTGTAGGGTTTTACTGAATTAAAGAAATATATAAGAACAGGCTTACCATAAATTGTCTGTGATTGAAGAGCCTTTCTGTACAAATATTAAACATTGTGATAAACACAAGCACTGTAGCAATGTATACATCCACAAAGACCTGGAATAAACCAATTACATGTCCATAAGGACTTAAACCTGACACTTCAGTAACTGGCATGAGGGCAATGTAAGTATTAAGCTGTGGCACCGATTCTCTTACAAAATACAGGATAATCCGACCAATATCTCTAGGTAAAGGGCAAGATACATTCTCGTGAAACTCTTTGCTTCCCTAAGGCATAGTAATTAATGTCGGAAATATATATATATACAGTAAAAAAAAATTTAACACTAAACTCATCAAAGATACAGATAGATATGATCAATAGGATTAAAAGAGAAAAAATTAGAGTTCAAGAGTTCACATGTGCAATCTGCTAGATTCTAACATTCAAATTCATATCTAATAAAGATTCTATTTGAGTACTGTATTTTCTCTTTTATTCATTATTCCAATTAAACATAAGGTCAAGTTTATACTAAACTGTACCTAAAAATAGTACAAATTCTTTTCTGGAGTTTGTAAAGACTACAGTTGAGCCAGTTGAAGATTCAACTTTAACTAACCATATTCTACTCCATTCCTCACTCACTCCTAAACCTCATCATTAAAAGTTAATTCATATTCTTGTAATTTAACTTGTACTAACAACAAATAGTAGTCTTCAAAAAGTTTCCAACAGTTATCTATGGACAGCATTGTACATTTACAAGAAAGTTATTGTTGCCACAGGCATGGGATTTATTACCTTTATATATTAGTCAAACAACAGTATGCATCTTATATACTGTACTGGTATTGTAGGCAGATAAATTATAGGAAGCACGTTGTAGTAAATTGTGCATTAGATTATCACTAAGTTACATTACATGATCGCATCAGTAGTGCAGATAATAAAACATGTGCCCATGGCTATTACTTCATACTATCCAGGGAAGTGTACCCAATAATTACGTCTTTTAAACTGTTTAAAAAGTTAGCAAGAAAACCAACAATGTAACATCACAAATATTGAGCCTTGATTGGTGTCCTATAACATGGCTCACCACTATATAAAAATAAAACAAAGTAGACCTACTTGTACAAATACAATACAAAAGATTTTAGCGAGAGAAAAAAAAAGTTGACATAACTTGAGACACATCCCTGGATCTTCTACGAAACAATTACTAAGCAAGACATTACCTATGGAGTTCAAATATAAAACTAAAATAATGGTGAAGCCTGATTGTCCATTTATTCACAAAAAGTAGTGTTGCACTACTTGTTTCTCTTCCATGAAAGTCCCATAAAACCTTTCATACCTCAAGAAGCTAAAAAATTAAAAAAAATTTCACATGACAAACTACAGTATTTATTAGGAATACCAGAAGTTCTAGTAACACTCTGGGAAGAGAGTTCTTCACACTGTAACCAAACTACACCAGCACAACCTCAAACTCATAATGATGCCATTATGGTTATTTAATATAAAAACAAACACCTGATGATAAACCTCTATGACCAACATTAATATATATTCCACACACTTAAGTGAGAAATAATGAGCAAAATGTTTTTGACTGTCACTGGGATGGAAGCTCATTCACAAAGTGATCCTTAAAATAATAATTAAATAAATTTATGATACTATTTACAACTTATGAACATATTTAAACATGAGGCATTGTTAAATTTGCATGTGAAATCTGCATATGAAAATTTCTGACAGAATTTGCTCATCAGTTTTATGAATGCTGGCTCAAATTTATTTTGAGATCATTTAGTTACAATGATTAAAAAAAAAATTATTTGTATCATATGTTAAAATTGTAGCCAACTGGGTCACTTAAAAAAAAAAGATAAAATAAAATAGAAGACAATAGTGTTTTTCATGGCTCACCAGCTTGTCACTTACACTATCAGCAAACACTGGCCTGTAACAGCTAGCCTTCACCAGTACAGTATATTATTTTATCTTTAAAATTAAGTGACATGTTCTAAAATTATAAAGATCAAGGACTGATGCCGTTATTTTCGTGTCGGAATGTGAGAACCGGTTTTTACAGGACCATAAGGTGACGAAATGTGCACAGTACATTTTGTCCCGGGATTATTACTTGTTAAATGCAAACATCTGGAATTTCATTACAACCAATTAAAATTTATTGACTGTAAAAACAAAGGATTAAATCTTCAAGATTTCAATTAATGTACAGTAACCCTAATTCATATTAGTACCTGCACTGGTTCCTTCTTTTGAGACTTACTACTGACCCTGCACTGCTGACTTGCAGCATACCAAATTATACTATTGCTCAAGAAGTTAATACTTTGTTTAATTCAGTTATATTTTGGAAAATAGAACAAGACCTTACCGTGGTTCTGCTTGTAACCATGTAAGCTGTTTATTCATGACAGGAGTTACCTTCAATAATAATAGGAAACATTATTTCATTGCAAAGGTTGCGTGCGTGAGTGTGTGCGCGCGCAGTCGTGTCAAGTGGTGGGTCTGGTGGCATGTTAAGTTGTATTATGCTCGAGTCCACACCCAGGCACACGGCTACCAGTCAATATACCTCAAAGTACTATTATTTATGATCTTAATGTGTGGAAATAGCTTTACCTGTGACAGTACCTGAAAAGTGTGCTGATTTGTTTATATCTTTATTTGAATATAAATATACAGTACAGTATTGGTTAAGCTTCTGCTGGTAACACACACATCAAGTGCTTTGGTGTTGAATGATGAGTCACTAACTGGAATTTGAAATTATGCACTAAAAATAATATAAATTACACTATGCAAGTGTCTGTGAATTGAAGTGCTAGTCTAACATTGCTCTAAATAGCCATAATGAATTTTTCTCGTACATTTTCTTTGATGTTACCAAAGTCATCACCACTGAAAATAGACTCCATGAGCTTTAACAAGTCTTTCATAACAGTATATAGAAAATCTTCTAAAACAAAAAATCTGGTGTTCAAAACACCATGCACAAATCAATACAAACATAATATAAAGTTGTACTATCTTCTGTATTGTATTACAATGTTTGTCTTTGAAATTTAAAATTTAAAGGATAACTGGCTCAAGTGTATTTACGATATTCACATTTACTCGAGTATTAGTCACGAATATTTCACCTGGTGCTGGCCACTCCTCGAATAACTGCTCAGATATATTTGGAAGCATTAATATATTTCTTTCTCATGTTAGTCTCCTTTTTACAGTAATTATTATTTATTAACCCAGATATCCTTAAGATCAACTCTTTAACAAATATTACTTTAAGCTGATTAAGATTATGAGACTTTTGGCTCTATATAGTTGGGGTTCTGGTAATCTCCTGCATTTCCTGTTATTGCTGTAGTTTATTTGTCAGAGTTTTATTATTTCTTGAAATGTAAATAACATGGTTGGCTTTTGTATGACATAGCCAACTCAACATGTGTTTGCGTGTATGTGCTGATTTATCTATCATGAGTGAGTGAGAGAGATATGCTCATGTAGGGACAAGCACAGGTCCTAGTCCAGCCTTCCAAGCATTCTTAGAAGTAATGCAATGACTCATTTCCCACATTATCATTTTCATTAAAAATTTTGAATCGAGACAGCTTTAGTGTGAGGGGGTTTAATGGGGTATTGTTTTAGGGTCAAGCATTGGGACCAGGAGAGTCATTCAGTGCATTATTTAGCATGGTATGTCTCTTACCCTATTAGTCCTATTGTACAGTACTTACATTTGAACTTGTGTATGGAGTTTGCCTCCATGGCTTCCTCTCCACCCACATTTCACGGTGTTATGTTCTCACTACTTTCTCACCCAATACACATTTTCTTAAGAGTACTGGGTACTGTAGTTATTGTCATGCATTGATGTACAGGGTAATTGGGGTTTTATTATATGTTGATTTAAACTACTGTATTATTGTCTGGGTTTTACAGTTATGCAAATAAGGATATAATAGCTATGTAGATGTAATAGAGTTTACCTTGACCCATAAAAAACTCCTGCCATCATTTTATGGTTACGTTACTATGTGAATGTGGTTACCACTATTATATGCGAATGTGTTAATTGTCATTGTATAAAATTCCATCATAATTACATTATATGTATACCAATGCTGTTCATATAGTTTTCATAACTCCTTATGGTTTTAATGAAGTATACCAGGTAAAGCAATCATCAGTTGAATTATTATCGTGTATTACATGTACAAAGAGCCTGCCATCATCTGTGGGTGGCACATCGGTACCTTATGCCTTTGTTTCAATCAATAATGTTGTCCATATGGTGCCAATTAGGCCCTACGTCATCGCTCAGAGCCCAACATCCACATATATATTATGAATTGAAATAATATCAAGTGTTACATGTACTAAGTACCTTACATCGTATGTAGGTTACACATGGGGTGTGTTATGCCTTTGTTTTAGTCCATATTGTACCAATTAGGCTCTATAGTGTCACGCAGTGTACAGGCACACACTGACGCCACCAAATAGAAAACTCGTGCGTACGTGGTGTGTGGAGTGGGTCTGTGTGCTGGGGAGTGTTGCAGAGGCTACCATGTGTTGAAAAAATACTGAAGTATAAAACAGAACTGGAACATTATAAATAATGTACGTATAATTATAAAATATTTCTAGCTTATAAATTAGAAATGTTCTCAACTGTAGTTTTTGTTAATTATCAAGTTAGTCAACACACACACTCTTGTAAATAAATAGAGGTGATAAACACTCACTGAACTATCCAAGGAGAAGATACGAGTCGTCTCGCCTAGCTTTATGTCACCAGTCAGCATGGTGTGTTGACAGGTGCCCGACCACATGGACACTACACAACATTTCACACCACCTCCACCCAGTAATGGGGTACATCTTCATATTTTGTTTTTTTGCTTAAATTTTACATACAAATTAATAATTCTACAATGAAAAAATATTTTTGGTCCTTTTTTTTTTGTGCATAGGAGGGAATGACCATCTTTAATAGCTACTTTCCAAGAATGAATTAAGTCCATTTACAGTACGGGAACTAAACTCATGGTGACCCATCTTCCCTAAAATCAGTCATATGACATTTTAAATTTCTAATGGTTTTATGCATACGTTATACTCTTAAGTTTATTTTATTCATCTACTAATTTGTAAAGAGTATTTACTGCACTTTTTTTTCTGAACTTTGGTTCTCAGTGTTGCAGATTTAAAAAGGTCTTCTCTATAAATTTTGTCTATTACTATAATATTTTATTTGGTGATCACATCACCTCTTTTTCTCCTGTGGACTAGTTTTGGTGTATCTCTTGTCTCTTAACTATACCAAAGCAAGTGGACAAAAATTTATTTGATTACAGTACCGTGAAGTTCTGACATGAATTAATAATGTGTGTGTGTGTGTGTGTGTAATTATCCAAGTTTAATTACAGGATGACAGCTACACTCGTGACGTCCCTATTTCCCAGCACTTTTTGTCATACGAGACATTGAAACTACTGTACTGATAATTTCGGTGTCCACCACTGCCTCACCTAACTTGTTCCAACTGTATACCACACTTTTCAATTTTGTAAATTCCTGTTACTGTTTTGTATGTAGTGATCATATCACCTCTTTCTTTTATCTTCTAGCTTTGGCGTATTTAAACACCTCTAGCCTCTCCTCGTAATTCTTGTTTTTCAGCTCTGGAAGCCATTTCCTCGTGTGCCTTTGCACTTTTTTGAGTTTATTGATGCTCCTTGAGATATGGACCCTATGCAACTATGTGTATGTGTACACTATTTGTATCTACATACTCTTCAAACTGTGCTTGCATGGGTTGATCTTCAGCTCTAGCAAAGTTTTTGAAACCTTAGCCTTCAACTGTCTGGTGTACAGGTTCCTCTACACTTTTGTGTTGCATATATAGTACATTTGAATATGTGTATGAACGATGGCTTACTTGCTAGTTCATTCTAACATTAAAGTACCTAATTTTAACATCCCAGTATCTGTTTCAAGTACAGTATTTAGTTTTCACTCGTGTCCAGTTGTCTCTCTGCACTTGTCTGTGACTAGTGTCAATTCCTGAGTAACTCAAGGTCCTTGGGCTTTCTCCAGCTTGTGAATGACAAAATGTAAAATATTTGTATAGTTTACAGTAATCACATTTTCAATTACTGTAAGCTCACAACATCAATAATGTATTATAAAGTTAAAAAAAATTGTTGTGGTTATTCCCATTACTAAAAAAAAAATCATGTAATAAGTGCATTGAAATGCCCTTTTTCTGGTGTGGTCCTCAGTAGCTCTCAAAGCTGAGTGCTGGTCCTGTCATGCCTTAGGGAGAGACAACAGGCCTCCAAGGCCCACCTTTGTCCAGGAGTCAGGACCAGAATCTGGCACTCTCTGAGGCAAGGGGATCTTGGGGATCAGAGATCCACCCTAAACGTGGAAAAATATCCTCTAGAAAATATATGTGCTACAAAACAAAAAACTACTTGAAAAAATGAGGTCCCGAATATAATGCGGCAAACCATCATTGCTGCGATGTAAACACCCCAACCATGTTCGCTTGACCACCACCAACCCAGAACACCTGTGGTCCCTGCTAGCATACTCCCTAACAAGCAGCCCAAACATACCTTCATCTTTCGATGGAAAAAGGAATAGGATTGGGGTGGGGAGCAATTAAAGAGCATCATCAGAAACTCATTACATCTACTGGTAGTGCTGAATTTCTGGGAGATCATACTTCCCAAGCTAACTTGGCATGGTGCCTCAGTACAGGAGGCTTGCATTTTTAACTAAGAATTAATCAGTAATCAGAAAAATGCAGCCAGGATTTACCTGTAGAAGAGGACAAAAGAAAAAAGGCATAGAGCAAGACATCACTTGGTGGGTTGCACCTGTGCACTTAGCAAGTGTGGTGAGGTCAGAGGGTACCCAATAAATAGCACAAGGCCACCAATTCCAGTGCAAAAAGCCCCAAGTCTGAACATTAACCATGGACATAGAGTATTTGCATAAAACGACGTCACAGCAGCAAACTTCTGAATATCATGAGTGAGGATACACCGCTGGAAGGCTGAGGCAATCACTATATGGGTGATCTGAGAGCCAGGTTTTGGAACACGGGATGCGAGACACACAAACACAGCCTCAACCTGAAGTGCACAGCAGTGTTGCTACAGGACAAATATGATGTACCTCATCCATACAAACCCAAGTGTCAATGATTAAGGAACCCTTCCAGGAAGCAGAAGTCTTAGCCTTAGCCAAAACTGACAAGAGAAGGCTGGAGGCAAAGAAAACCATTAATTAACAAACCAAAAGAAAAAAACACTTCCTGTGAAGAATGTGAAGCTCCTGAACCAAAGCGCCAGAAGCCAAAGTCAGAAAACAAGTTGCCTTGAAAAAGGAGTCATCTACTGAGGGAGAAACTCTGAAGTGAGGTGAAGAGAGGCACACGAACTCCTACCCAAAAAATAATTAAAAAGAAAAAAAACGGGTACTGGAACAGCCAAAAATTGGTGCCAAAACCAGTAAAACCTTCCCAATGGAAAGAGGAGGGAAGAGATCAGGATAGTGAACATGAGGGAGAGCAACCAAGCAGAATCCTGGAAAAAAAAAAAATCTAAAAATTTAAGCCAAAATATATGACTGCAGAGAAAGAAGTCTTGTCACTGCATTCTGTACGAGTGGCACAAACAGTTTAGGAACTTCATTTTTGGCTGAAGGAGCAGACAACACAGTCAAGGAATCAAAAGACGAGGATCAAAGATCAACCTGTGACTACTCAGCTCTCATGTACTGCACAGAAACCGAGCACCTCCAGTAAGCAGGTGTGACCCTTGTAGTCTGCCACAATCAGTGCCAAAGGCAATTTGGGAACCAGGAGATACAGCTGCCACATCATGGGGCAAATAGAGCAATATTGACTACAGCAAAGGAAAAGCCCCAAAGAAATAATTCCACTAAAGTGGAAATAGAAATATGAAAAAACCAGCTGACACTTACCCAAGGAAAAACACCCGGTAGGCAAGAATTGGTCTCAGAGGCCTGGTGCATCTCCTCAAGGCAGGTTGGACTTCTTGTTATCTTGCAGAACTACTATAATAATAATAATAATAATAACAATAATAATACAAAGAAATCATAATGGTATTATATATCGATGAGAAAATTATTTGGAGCAATGCAGTTAGTTGAACCAGTATTCTAGCGACTTCAAACACTTGCCTTTTGTCCTACCATGACTGATTTGGTTAAGGCAAGCATCAGGAGTCATTAGAATGCTGGTTCAAGTCACTGCATTGTTCCAAATAATTTTCATAATAATAAAAATAATCCTGTAATAATATTTTATTTATAAAAGTACAGAAGATGAGACTAGTGATTACTCGGCAAGTACAGTACAGTATTTGTATATTACGTAAATCCTGTACAGTAATTATGGCCAGTGTTTCGCACATACTGAGGACACCTACCCAGAAAAATCCTAATTTGTCAAATATTATTTGAACTAGGGCAGTGCATTAGCTTAACATGTGCAGTGAGACGAGTTATGATCATTGCTGTGGTGAGCTCCAGGTTGGTTACTTTACTTCTCATTCTGCTCTCTGTAGTAATGGAATTAACTACTTCTGTAGTTTAATTTTTTGTCTTACAAGATATTTACCATTCTGAGGGACAGGAATCCTTTTAGGCTTGCTAAGGTCCCCTTTGCCAATGAGTGACCATTGGCCAGGATTGGAGCCACATCAGTCAACCAACTTCCAGGTACGGTACCTGTTTACTGCTAGGTGAACACAGGCAGCTTAGTTTCAGTAAGATCACTGATAAACCTCTTGGCACTACAATTCAATATTAAATAATTTAAACAACATAATGTAACTTTTAAAGTACTGAAATGGGTAATTGTTTTGTATTCCTAGACACAAGGAATTATCACCGAAAATGCTGCTATTTGCCAGTGTAAATTAACAGTACATTGCAAGATTTGCCTTAAATATTACCACAAGAGCCATTCATTACCAAGAAATTTCAAATCTTAAAAACTATTATTATAAAAATATTAAATTCTAAATAAGCAACAGAAAGTGTAAATTTTGAGTCATCTCACCGACACCTCAACGTCAAGTGAATCAACATTTAGAAAAAAAGTGTTGTATAAAGTCCGAGCAGAAAACATGTGCAAGTTTCTTTGTATAAAATTTTAAATGGGTTAAGCATAAATGGCCATGACAGTGTTGATAATTCTTGTAACTTTGTAAACATATTGAGTATTGTGTGTGGCAATCTTTAGACACCATTGTTTAACAGTTACCGGTAATACAAATAAAAAGGAATAAAACTTAATAAACATAAAATATAACTTACATCAATTCTATTATACTAATCAGGTTAAAATTGTTAAATTCCACTGCATGTATCTTTATAAAATCTAAGCACCTCATATAAATCTTCTGTTCTTTCATACTAATATTAAATCAAAGCTATCATTCCTCTGGGGTCTCCTTAACATTAGTAAACACAGCGACGTCCAGAGGAAGAGTCATTCATCTCACCGCTGCCTCATTCCATGACTCAGGCTACAAAAACCACACAAATACACCACAATTATTATTCTAACTCATTACCATAAGAGCATTTGCTGCCATAAATTTTCACTCTTAGTATTCAATACATTACTAATTGCTGCCTAGTCTTCACGAAGAATTACCAGCTATAGTAGTGTAAATTGCTTTGGAGACAAAGGAGAGATTGGAAATTATGTACTTATCATTCATCACCAAACCTTTAACCTCAATTTTATAAATGGATATGGACATTGTAAACCTTCTTTCGGTATCCCAGTCTCCTGTGAATATGCTGGACACCACACACAAAATAACTATTATATATATATAATAAATACTGACTCATGAATAGATGGTAATGACCTCCCGGCCTCCACCTCTCACCATCAATACTCTCTCCAATCCTTCTGTTAAAACTTCCAAAAATTCCATGTAGTTACTCTCTGATTCTGGTCTTGAAGTCTTAGGTGGTCCAGGCAAATTAATAATAACAAGCTGCGCATTATGAGACTTGTTCACAATGACTTCGTTCAACTTTACAGCAGTGTGCATGCGTCGTACATTTGCCTCGTCTCTGTAATAACAATGACTTATTAGCCACAATATTTAATGATGAAAAGAATAATAACCTCCTAAATATTTACTTGCATATATTATGATAACTTTAATAATTCATAAGAGTAAATGTGTGTTTGTTATGCGAGGACATTTGTTTCTTACATTACCAGCTGAACCGTTTGAGGATTAATCTTGGTTACTGTCACAGACACACACATTAAACACCAGACTCACACACACACACACCTTATACAAAGTGTTGGTAGGTATCCATTTTCATCATACCACTGCTAGAATTAAAAATTATGCCACAAAAAAAAAATTTAAGTTTCAAAATATAGAAACACTAATAAAAAATCTAATTTATCTTCTTGAACTTTGTTCACAACTGAAGCAAACAGTTCTCAATTATGATTAATTTAACTAGGTAGTTCCATATTTTGTATTCACTTATTATCTAAAGAAACAAGTGTGATGTACGTACGGCTTGATTGTAAGAAGTTTCTTAAAACTTTCATTTTTACTGGTCTTCTTCTCAGTGTCTTCAGATGCTCCACTCTGAAATTACAGCCAGTCTTTGAGGAATCACTCCTTAATAATTATACAAGGTAAGACATTAGTATGTTGAAGCCAATTGTAACTAGCAGCCAAAGAATGTCTTGCATAACTTGTTTTAATTTAATGGAAACCAATTTCATTAAACCCTTAATTTCAAGGAAATATTTTTTTCTTCGAGACAAACCTTAATTTTATGGAAGAGGTTATGTGCCTCAATTTACAAGAGTCACTCACAGTATGTATACTCACATTCTATATTCATTAACAAAAATTCCTATTCTTATACCTTTAGTATTTAATACTAATAGAGCCCCAGTGGCTCTCTGTACCCATCCCACTGAGACTGCTCCATTCTACATCACAATTATTGTGTGAGTTCTGTTAGCCCACCTGGGACCAGTCCCCCTAGAATCTAGAACCTAGTCCCATCATATAAGGCAGAGCAAATGATGTTCCACAATCTCACCAGGAAAGCATCCAGAAAGTCAGCCAACCTTTGCAGATAGCTGCTGTGTTCACATGACTTAAAAGCTATGAATAACTACAGAGAAAAATTGAGGAACTTACCAGAGAGGAGGAGAGGCAGCAGTCTCTGCTTCTAAGTAGTCAGACTTAAGTCGAAGTAGAGACCAATGGCCAAGAAACACCACCCAGGGCAACACAGGACTCAAGACAACCAGGGACATTGACTAAATACCTGGCCACCATGACCCTGTTAGTTCACTAAAATTCCAGAGCCTGAATATCCAGCCAAGACATAATAGAAAAGACTGCTATAATGGCAGCATACTTGTTAACATTATGGGCTCAGAGATAGATTGCATACTGGGTAGCCTTGATGACACTGCGAAGAACTTCAGAAATATGAGCCTTGGAACAGAGACCAAGAAGACCAGATCAACCCAAAGAGCGTCCACTGAAGCAGAGGCAGTTGTAAGCAGGTAGAGACAACTTGCCACCATGGGACACACACAATTGCACCTCTGGCTGAATCGACAAGCATCAATAACCAAAGAACCCCTCTGGAAGCCCACCGACTCAGCCTTTGCTAGAAATAGACGAGAAGGTTGCAAATGAAACAAATGCATACTAGGGCCAAAAGAGCAGATCCATCACACCTATGGAGAAGACCATGAAGCCTACAATCCTAAAACTGGAGGCAAGAGCCAGTAAAAACATTGCCTTTACTGGACCAAAGAGCCAGACGTGAACCTAAGGAAAGCGAAATGATCGAGGACCCTGTCCAATGACCATGATGGCTCAGGAGATGCATGATTGGGCCGGAGGTAAAAAAAAAAGCTCAAGACAACTTGCGGAACAGAGCTACAGAAATTTACTTGGCAGGTAAATTTATACTAGGTAGTATAAATAGAAATATGTTTATTTCTAAATATATTTAGAAATTCCAAATATATTTAAATGTGCTTAAATTTATTTGACTAGCCATTACACTTAACTATGTTAAAGCCAACAGCAGCAGCTCTGCCAGCACTACACAATAAGAGGCAACAGTATTATGCACAAGATGCCAATGAAAAAAACAACCACATAATATTAAGTCCAAAAACAGCTAAAACTAAACTTAAATATTCCTAGGCCTTGTATAACACCTATATGTACTATATTAGGTCTAGGAAGGTTAGGTTAGGTTAGGTTAAGTTTTCTGTGCACCAAAAAAGTACAAAAACTTTTCCAGTTTGTCCAAATTCAACAGTACCAATTTCTACTTTCTAATTGCCTTTTACATCAATACACGTACGATGGTCCCCACCGTTACTATAAGTACTACCTAAACAGGAAGATGGGCTGGATTACCACAAGGTCCTTTTCTTCATCACATTTGATTAGAACTTTATCCATCTGGAGCTCTCATGAGTTCTGTCCTCAGTAAAATACAGATACAGTCCAGCAGTGTATGCAAAAAATGCAAACACGCAAGTATATACACTTATAACATTGTACACACAAAAATCTACATAAACCAGATAAGCATACCATCTCTGCCTCTGCATCAGAGTCGAGGGCGGGCTCATCCTCCTTGAAGCGCACCTTGCTGGCCGAGTGCTCACCGGTCGGGTGATGGTGGTCAACAATTGCTTGAACCTGTTATAATCAAATATTCATAACAAACACAAGAAATACATTGTCATTATATTAAGTCAATATCAAAATGATAATACAACATTCGACTATTACATTTACGGAACTCTTAAGTATAACAACTTTAAATAATATAACTATTTGAATTGTGAATATCTGAATATTTGTAATATTTTATTAGTATATACCCATTTTCAATATAATATACAGCTAGCATTCTATTACAGACAAATATGTTTTAGAGAGAGAGGTTGTGAGTATTTTAGCAGAGGTTGTAATTTACACCAAAACATGCATATTACTTCACTAACACAAGGGTTTAGCCCTCTGGCTGTATTTACATCACAACTTTGATCTCGTCGCCAACGTATTGCGTGCTAGATACTATAAGGCGTACAAGCTTTGTTAAGGGAGCAAAATGCTAGCTTATCTTCTTCTGAGTTTCAGATTTCATTGTGCTTGACACCTGCTTACAGGTTATATCACAGATAATGATGAAGGGAAACAATTATTTGGCTGGAAAGAACTTATAATTAAAATTTAGTGATAACGTAGTGCATTAAAGGTTTGTCATTATGTGAAGTAATTACAGGAGTGCAGAGAAACTGTACATAAATCTCTACATAATATCACTCAACACATCCTGCTACACACTGTAGAGCAAAAGCAACAACACCCACAGCACACAACCATTAATATCTTATCCATCATTTTGATGCATGAATATGTATAATACACCTGTACCAAAATTAAGTTAGTATCCAGTTAATTTTAATATCAAAATGCAGTAAAAGCTCTCAAATAGAGTACTTATTGTTTCAAATTTTATACATCACATTTATAGTGCAATGTTTTTCAGAACATTTCTCTAACAAAGATCATTTGATTTTCAAATACATCTTGCAGTCGATGCGTGGTGGTTAGGTCTGAGGAATAATCAATTTAAACGCGCTCGGAGCAAAACCGATAATTCAACGATGTTGATATTTTACCCCCTGAAAATAATCTGTGCTATATTAGGAGAGGTTGAACAGAATATTTAAGTTATTTTCAAGAGTCTAGGCACCATGTCATGAGCAGAATCTTTTCCAAATTTTTCAGTCACTGGCCATCTTCACCACCCAGAGCTGTTAGGCCCTAGGACAGTGGTACACGACATCTTGTACCGATTCATTCATCACCGAAGTGCAGCTGCTCTTAACTTCTTGCACAAACAATAGACTCAAATGATCAGAATGTGCAATGTTGCAAAAAATAGAACAACAAGTACACATCAGGTGTAACAACATACACAAGGCACTGCAAATGTAACAATTAATATGTTCCTTCTATACTTGAAATTCTTCTTACTTTACCTCTAAACCAACTATTATCCCATTCCACAGACCCCTGTACACAACTCACTTGAAGCATCCATATAACAGTAAATCACATTATATTCTCCAAGATAATTATTTTTGTTATAACGATCAACTTGTAGAGTAGAAGGCAAACACAAGTCCCATATTCTCACATCTGCATTCTTAAATCACAAATAACACAATTCTCAGAAATTTCACATAGCAATTTTGTAGTTTCCACAAGTGTGACTCAAGAGACAGACCAAGATCCTGCTATGACAGCTGGTACAAAGAACTCCATTTTTGCCCCCCGTAAGATGATACTGAACATTAGTATTATGTATACAAGTCAGGTTGGGATTATTAGGTCCCTAAAGACACGAGCGTTACACTTGATAATACCAACACAGCCAAATGTTGTAGCTCGTGAGTTTGATTGTTCATTGAGGTTCAACAACATAATATATACAATATGATGGTGGTAATAATGTCAACTGAAAGAAAGAACATAAGCTGTGAGCTTGAAAATTATCAATATTAGTTACATTTTGTGCTGGGTTTTAATTTAGAAAAAAAGAAAACTGCTATTCTCAATATGCCCGAGGTAATTATTAACTTTACAAAAAAAAATTTTGCTCGACAATTTCAGAAATTACAGAGAACTTACTCAAAAAAATTCTAATGTAAGGAGACAATTTTTAAAAATGAATTCTCTAATAGCGTATATTTTACACAGCAAGAACTGACTTTATGTTTGTCTTGTATAATATTTAATATTAAAACAAAGCCAGGCAGAATATTTATCTGTTTTGGTGCTAAAATAGCACCTTATAAAATCTCTTGGATTAAAATATTAAGAAATTAATTGCCTGTATACAAACTTTACAAAGTGATAATTTGTACTATTTATTTGTCAAAGGAAAGTGTTAATTTAAGTGTGTGATGATATTTTGACTAGCCAAAGTTAACAAACATTAATTTCCTGTTACTTATTTTGTACATTATTTAAATAAGCACATAAGATAACAAGGACATTTCTTATTGGACTGCAATACGTATTTATTTAACAATGAGAGCAACTATGACCATTTCTGCTCTTTTTAATTTTTCCATAGCCAAATAAACTGAAAATTAATGCTTTGAATGAAATGAAATGCACCTTTCAGAGTGCTCCCTCAGCAGCTGCCCGAAGCTCAAGGCACTAGTACCACAGAGCCTCCCAATCAAATCAGGTGCCAGACTTACAATGGCATATAGCCAACCAGGATCACCATCTGCCTCTCTCATAGGAATGAGGGAAGCATGGGATCAAAGAGTGACCCAAAACAGAGGAAATTGCCCAGAAAGTCACAGATGAAACAAAGCAAGTCATTGCTCACAAAAAAATTAATTAAAAAAAAAAAGACAAAATACAGTTGACAACAGGTAAACAATCTTTGTGCCAACTCACCCACCTGCCATCAAATAGTAGCTCAGGTTACCAGGTACAAGACAAGGCCAGACAACACACAAGAGACAGGGCCAGACAACACACACACACACAAGACAGGGCAAGACACACACACACACACACAAGACAGGGCAAGACACACACACACACACACAAGACAGGGCCAGACACAACACACACAAGAGACTGGGCCATACACAATACACACAAGAGACAGGGTCAGACACAACACACACACAAACACACAAGAGACCGGGCCAGACACAACACACACTAGCATACAATTGACTTCTTTAACTTCCCATCAACTAACTTTATATTAGCAACCAAGTCCTGGAAGCATGGGGACTAAAGAAATCAATCCACAGAAGAGGAACCCAAACTCCTCAAAGCAGATAATTCTGAAATGAGAAGGGACATGTAGGCAGACATCTTGGAAGGCAAACCTAAAGTCAAAGCAAAATAATAACCAAGGACATCCAATGTTGGTCAGACACAACAGTCATGAGTTAAACTATAAAGCAAGCACAGCCCATCCTTATAGTCAATGTCCGAAGCAAAAGAAACACCACTTGGTTGGAAACAATAGAGATTGGTCCTGGAATGAGAGGCATGACTTGGATGTTACCAGGTTTGTGAATGGATGGCAAATCTATTGAGCTGACCTACCATCTGATGGTGGCTGGTTGACCTGACCTGACCTACCACCTGGTGGTGGCTGGTTGACCTGACCTGCCACCTGGTGGGGAAATGACGACCGAAGTATTGTTTACCTTTTGCCAACTAATGTTTGCTTGTCTTCTTAACTTAATTTCTTAAAGAGCAGCGATTCGTTTATTTTACCCGTAAATTTCTGGGAATTTTCCTTTGATTTAGGTTGCTCTTTGATTCCCTTCCTCCCTCTGCTTGTGTGAGAATCAGATCCTGGCCCCGGTTCTCGGCAAACCTTCGCAAGCCTAAAACCTGGTACAGACCTTCCTGAAATGCTATGCATGTTAGTGGCTTTGCAAGAATGTACCACTTAATCACCAATGTATGTAACTTCAAAACACATTGTTACATTTTGTACAGTGTATTTATAAATAAATAATAAATAAGTAATTAATAGATTGAGAGCCTGTATGGTACTAGTGCCTTAAGCTCCAGTGGAACTACTGAAACAGCCACCCCCAGAAATTAGAGAATTTAGATATAACCAGATGTGTATTAAAATATATAAAAGGCATTCTTAGCTCCAAATATTTTTACTTCAATTTCATTATGCACAAGAATTTAATTATGCACATGAAACCATGATGACTCGGTAGGTAAGTGCGCTGAGCAAGTGTGCTGAGGAGTTGTGTCTACAGGGGCTGGCAATGAGTACTTGACTAATTACACACAGGTATTGCTGTTTTCAGAAGAAGCATTACAGTACTTTTGAATCTAATTTGAAAATAATGGAATAGTATATGTTGGTAATGGACACTGGTACTTATACATTTTATTTCTGTTGAAAATGAAGATGGTTCTGAATATCAATACCTCTAAATGCCATGGATTATGAAGCAAACAGTAACATTTCTATCATATAAAGCTATAATTATCAATTCTCTTCACAACACTGAAATGCGCGCACATCAACATCTACCATGTTAATGTATTAATGATATACAAAACAATTCAAAATATTGTTTAACAAGTGTTGAAATCTTAAGTGAACTAATGATTTGATTTAATTTGCCACAAAACACTAACTTCAGTCTGTTAACATGCAATAAATATTTCACTAAGCATTCCTCATAACCAAATGCAGTCGAACCAAAAGATGAAGAAGGGAAAACAGAACATTTATTTAACAGCCAATATCAAATTAAATGCCTGATATTGAGCTAAAATAACAAAGGAGGCAACAGAACAATAATAAGTACTGTACTACAAATAATTTGCTGTAAATGTTTCACAGGCAAAATCTGAAAAAAGTAAACTTAAGAGGAACTCAGTAAGAAGCTTCACATGGGACAAACAATGGCAATTCCACCACCAAGTCGATTATCTGACATTATATTAACGGCCGTAAATACTTCAATATCAAGACGTCCAAAATAGTACAAGAGTTTAGCACCCCCTATAGGTCTTTTATGATGCCAATCGATAATTATATATTTTGAATTCTTGTTTATACAAACATTTTGTCTCACAAATGCAACTATATATATCAATTCTTATATTTGTATAGTTCTTAGTACTGTACCTATACCAAAATCAACATTTATATTGCAGTGTAAATCAACATTTACACTGCAACCTCTTAAGTAAGTTATTCTTATCCAAACTCCCACAATTTTTGTTTTCCTAAATATTTGCCAAACGGTGTTGTTGCTGAGTGAAATTTATACAATAGTACCGTACTGTATTAGGAAGTTTCTTAGTTGGATCAACTTGTGTGTTGGTCTGTCTGCCTTTCTCCAAAAATCTACCCCCAGGTGCCAATAAATCTGGCTGGGACAACCATGGAAATTATCTAAATCTCAAAAACACATTTATCATAAATGAAGCAAAACAAGCCAGATGTCCCTCTATGGCAGCATCAAAAGGGAAAAAACTGTGAGAGGGCCAGCGCAAAGAGCACCAAGCCAATACACCCCTCTGCAACTTGTGAAAGCAACACCACGAAGGAGCAAAAGACAATGAAAGTGTGACGACCTGCAAATCTGACCCATCTGGAAACCTACCCCCACTCAATAACAGAAGAGGACCTCCCCCAAACTCACCCTCCCCGAGAAGCAAGAACAACTGAGGACACAGCATCCTCGGGAAACAAAAGTGGTAAAAATGGAAGAGGACAAGAAAAGGGATAAGAACCAAGCCAAACCTAAGGCATGTGACCAGCACAGCCCGAAAGCAAGACAAACAAGCACCATAGAAACCCACTACAGCTTCTGAAAGAGAGAAGCAATCAATCTGAGCAGCAACTCAGACCCCAGGCAAAGGTACCAAGGCCGTAAGCTCAGGCACAGCAGACAAGGCATCCAGGCTGCCCCTGGTGCTGGTCAGAGAAAAGCACCATGACAACCCAAATATGCAAAACAGTGGGCAAATGTGTACATCCCTTATGATCCTCTGTAAGAACAGGCTTAGAAACTAAGCAAATGCAGTTGAAGATAGAGCCATCACATGCCCACATCCTAGGGTAAAGATAGTGCACACAGGCAAGCCTACAACAGTACAAAGGAGGCACCACTCAGGAGTGCCTAAAAGATCATACATGCCTCATGCCACTCAAGTATTCAGGTACAGCAAAAGTTATGCCAAACCTCTTAAGGAAATGATAGGGTTGTCTGTATGCTCGGATGAATCAGGAACCTCATACTTCAACTAGAAAGAAGTGACCAAATTTACAAAAGGATGAGTCCATCAAGAAGGCGAGATCCTAATCCCAAAGAAGTCGAAACAGATCTGCCTGTGCCGCCGAGGGCGAAAGATGGGAACTCTGAAATCTCCACACATAACACATCTGAACATTCTAAATGAACCAGAAATTACACGTGGGGGATCCCACTGAGGAGCCATCTTAATCATCAAAGGCAAGTACAACAAACTGTCTGCCTTAACCCCTGCACTGCACACCTGTTTTATGTGACAAATTCATGATGCAATTGTTAGTGAATCATTAACATTATCTGAAAAATTTAAAAAAATGAGAATATCAAAATAGTGCATTGCCAAATTTAACATTTTTCATTTCAAATCACAAGTGAAAAAACATTTAAAAAATTAAAATATTGCCAAATTAAACAATTTTCACACTACCGTTGAGCACCTTAAGGCACACTGCACAGTGCAGTGATAAAGATAATATCTCGCTACAGAGAGAACCAAAAACCAATCAGGTTCACAGTGCATCCAATGACACTCCTATGGATACCTCCCCAACCCTGGACACCCCAGGAAATGATGGCTCCGGGATAGAGCCATGACCCACACCAAACTCAGAAGACAGAAAAATCTCCACACGGGAAAAATCGTAGCCACAGTACCTCCGAGAAACAGAAGGCAATGGATCCTTAGCGTTAAATACTGGCTCAACTACTGTACCTCTGACGTTGAAATGGAAGGGGCAGTCCTCAGAGAAGGTCTAACCTCATCCAAAGAATCACTAACTCTAGACTCTGAAACCCTTAGATGGTTCAGTGCCCAGAGAAAAGGGAGGAGATCCCAAGGGCCAGCTGCACAACACCAGACTAACCTCAAGGAAGGAGACGGGGGCAAACATGAAGCACCTGCTGAAAATGACTAATGCAGGGAAAGCCTGGGCCCATAAAGCTGAAGCCACCTCATAAGCAGTCCCCCCTAGAATGAGGCTCGGCTAAGAATAAAGACCCAATGCTCAGGAATAAAAAGCTAATGTGCACTTGGCCTTGACAGTGACAAAATGTGTTCCTTTTATAATGGAACAATGCTCCTAAACCCCTCTGGAAGTGAGATCAAGTTTGCACCTTACATGCTAGGAGTCCAGAACATTGCTTATTGAAATATGATAATTCATTATCCCACTAAAATTGCAATGTGCTTATAGTGTATGCTTAAGACAAAATATTAGCTGTGGAAAATGAGACTTTTTTCTTCTCTTCTTCCATAATCCGATGGTTTTGGTGTGACCACGCATCTTAACACACCTTGAAGCCCTGACCAAGAGGACACTATTTACGTGGTAATATTCTACATTTCTATGAGCATAAACTCATGCAGTACACATGCCCGAAACGCTTTGCGTAATAGTGGCTTTAGGCATTGTATGTACCAGCTCTATCTATAAACCTAGCAAGTTTTGTAAAAATCTCTTGTATGTATGTACCTTACCTAAATAAACATTTATTTATTTATTTATTTACATATCTGGTGATCTGAGCTCAAAAGTATTGTAGTTAACTAGAGAAATTACTAACAAAAACAATAATATACTTTTTATCCCATTTTTCATTACTGTTAAATAAAGAGTATTTTCCAATGGCAAAACCTTCATTTACAGTACTAAAAATTTTAATACTTCAATAATGTTTGATTTGATTGTCTTGATAATCTACTCTGTGGTGAGTTGATACCAGCATTCTGAGGAAATTCAGAATTCTGATTCACATACAGTATAACCATATACATTGATGTCTTTTCAAAATGATTTTGAAACTTAAGAAAATAATACAAAATCCTGAAATGTGTTAATCACAGTTATGGAATTTATATATGTTAATAGGTACAAACAATTTCTATTAGAGTAATAGGAGAGAAATGTGCAGAATACCATACCCCGAGGCTATTTGACTCAATCTGTGGACAGAGTAAAAAGCTTCATGCTACTATATAGTAATTATAAACAGTCTTCCTAATCTCATATATCTATCTTTTCTTAGCAATAAGTGAACCATACTCTAGTCTCAGCTAAATGACATTAATGAAGGCACACCTATAATCATTTATTTCAAAAAAAGTTCAGAATCTTTATTGTTAAGAAAAGGCAAATAACCTTCAAAGAAAGTAATACATAATATTAGTAAACAAGAGCTAATGAGAAGAGCTCTCTAAGCAAGTGCTGGAGCAAGTTATTACTTTCATAAAAGTTAAGAGAGTATTATATACAATAATAAACACTATACTGTATAAAGAACATCTAAGAAAATGAGCTTAAAATCATAAGTAATAATTGACCTTATTTTAGTTGTTTAACAGATTAAACATAGAAATATGGAAGATGAAGAAGAAATAGATCAAGGAAGACGAAGGATACAAGAGAATAACGAGAGTTATGGACGTGACTGACATGTATCCCACCAACTCTGGAACAAGCAAAGAAGACATTTCCATGAGCAGGATTAACAAGAGGAGAGGAACCACTGAAAGATTACAAAGGGTAGACTCACACCACATGATAAGAGACATGAGAAGCAGATTTAATTCTACAAAAATGAAGATAGAGACTATAAAATAAAGATTAGGGGAGT